ACACAGACCTGGGTCAGATTCCCCTGATAGCTGGGTAGCTTAGGTCAAATCAATTGATCTCTTTGGGCTGGAGTTTCTTCATCCATAATAAAGGGACCTATGCTTGTCCCATATTCCTGTGAGCATTTAAACTCAGGTGTTCAATAAATGGCAGTTGTTACTGGCCTGAAAAATCCTTATTCTTCCACCAGCTCACAGTGCACCTGTGTCCTTCCTCCAGGGTATGGGGCTCAAGTCTCAGCCCCTAGTTCTTGTACGAAGTGTGAAATCAGTGAGAGGTGAGAGCATAGTCAGTAGGTAGGATGGCAAAGAAGGTGGCAGGGGGCTGAGGGCTGATGGAGACGATCAGCTGGACCCAGGAGAGGGGCACATGAATCACCCCACAACCCAAATTCTTCGAATTCCAGAAATGGTTGAAAACTCGGCAAGTTATATTTTCCAAGATCCAGAACTTGATCAGTCCTCTCTTCCTGCTGTTCATCTGCCGCTAACACAAGCCCACTCTTGGCAACCCACATTACCGTTATTCCTAAGTAGTGACACTTTCTGGACTGCAGGCATCTCCAGGGCCTCAGGCCTCTACTTCCCTATGACCCTAGACCTGGAGATCTTTTCTTTTTCTTCATTTTGGATCTCTTTTCTGATTCTTGTGGCCCTCAGACATAAAAGGGCTTATCCTACCAGCACCTCCCCAACATTTTTAAAACCAGAACTTGATTGTCTCTGGGGTTCTCACACCTGTAATATTTCAAATTCAATCTAACTGCCTCCAGTGGGGACCTATTCTTAGACAGCATCTTGTTTTGTGTGTGCCTGAGAAGTGTTTTTAAAATATTGTTTTAATTGAAGTGTACATGACATACAGTGTTAGTTTTAGGCGTACAACTTAATAGTTTAACAATTATGTACATTACTCAGTGCTCATCAAGATAAGTGTGCTCTTAATCCCTTTTATCTATTTCATCCATGCCCCACATCATTTGTTTTTTTTTAAACGTATATACTTCACTCAGTACTTTTCATATGTCATAAGAAGGACAGCATCCCCCAAACAACTCTATACAGAACTGTATAACAACTGTATAACAACTTTATACAGAAGCTGGGAACTCATTTCAAAAAGGGCAGGTAGTTACATTTGTATAACTATTATCCTTTATTCTGCCAGTCTGCCACAGGACTTCATCTGAACTTGGGTTTGGAAATTCCCTATGGATTCTGGCAGATCATCCTCTGGCATTTTTAGTTTCCAGTGCTGTTGCAACTTTTTATCTCTGTGTTTTCATGAGGGCAACTCAAGAATCACTAGCTGTCCAGTATCTTATCTCAGAGTCCCTCTTTCACATATATGGAGTGGGTAATTTATGGTTTTTGAATACAAAGAAGTTCAATTTGTATAACTTTTTATAAACATCTTGATGGCTAAGTTAATAATTCTTTGTAATATTACCTTCTCTTTCAGCTCAATTTTATTCTGTTTCTGAATACGGTTAGAGTTCTGGCTACCAAAATCTGGGAGACCAATGCAGTTGGGCATGACACAAAAAAGCAATACAGGTAATTCCAGGACAGGCATCTACCAGAGGAAATATTTTGGTTACTATTTAGAGTAAAGAACAGGTATTGATTGATCTGAAATGTCTCTGAGAGATAAATTTGTGAATATGAATTTTCACTTGGTTTAGTTATGCCATTTATCAGAAATGCATAGATATATTTTAGGAAAATCTAAGTAATCCAGAACCTTCCTAATGTGCTTACATTTTAAGTATTAAGTATAATTTTTTTTTATCTGTTCTTAGCAGATTGGGATTTTCCCATAAACAATGTGACTACCCAGAAAATCTCTTGTTGATGATCTTAGCAGACAATTTTATCTGTGTTCTTTTTTTTTTTAATGTTTATTTATTTTTGAGAGAGACAGAGAGAGCAAGTGGGGGAAGGGCAGAGAGAGAAGGAGATAGAATCTGAAGCAGGCTCCAGGGTCTGAGCTGTCAGCACAAAGCCCAACACAGGGCTCGAACCCACCAGCCGTGAGATCATGACCTGAGCTGAAGTCGGATATCTAACCGACTGAGCCACCCAGGGGCCCCTCTGTGTTCTTAAAATAATATGTCATAACTGAAAATATCAAGAAGGTGGGTTTGCTGTATTGTTTCCAATCTGTCCATCAAACTGGCCCCTACCAAATATAAATTTTTAAGAACGTTCAAATACACTGAGCAAGACACATTATTCAGTCTTTCATGAAGAAAAGGGCAAATTGAATGTTTATGATCATTATCAAGCTATCTTAAGGGTATTCCCACTTTTCCCAATGACAATTTTGGGAGTCCCGAATAATAACAGCCTCTATCCAATTGTGCACACATCCAGTGGTCAGGTGGATGTGGATTGATCTTTATAATCCCAAAGTAATAACCACTTCTTTCTGTCTTGGATTGTTAGGAAGTGCTGTCTGAGACACAGAAAGGAAGAAACCATAGTCAGTATTTTGGTTCAGTGTCACAACTGTTCTCGAAGCCCTTTGTTGAATTATTTCCCTCTACTGTGTAGGCAACTTTCACTGTCAGGCAGAAAAGATGATGGGTGTAGACTGGAGTCTGGGATAAGACACACACTGAACAAACCAGTAGCTGCAGGCTCCAATTATTTTTAATGTGCTGCAAGCAGTATTATTATAATATAAATTGTGCCTAAGAGTTTACAGTGAAGGACCTTTGCCATACTAATATAGCCTGTCTCCTGTCACATCCCACTGATGAAGACAAAGGCCAGGGGATGACAGAACAGTGGAAAATGTAAATAGCTCTTCAATTTTCTCCATAAAGTGGAAAAGTACAAAGGTTTTTGAAAGCTGCTTATTTCTCTAGTTCTGAATAAAACCTCCTTATTTTTATAGTTCTAAATGATGTGAACTTGAACTCTCAGTTAAAAGTTACCAAAGAGACTTGAGAAAAAATTCTGGAGAGAACAAGGGGTGAATTATCTTAAAACATAGTTTGAATAGACAATATTTTGAGTTCATGCATGGGAGAGTAGTTCTCAAAACAATGGAAGAGAAAAATTCATCAAGGATTAAAATAATGTATTCAGAATTCAGAACAAATTTTTAAATAATCTGGGGCCCAGAAGTGTTTTAAGTTTGAAGTGATTAATTTGAACAGAGTCTAGACTAATGTCAGGTAGTCAGGGAAAGTATTTTCCAGCCACATACATTTTTTTTTTAATAACGGAAACACCCTTCGTATTCTTACTAGTGTCTAAAGTTCAAAATGTGGTGAGGAAAGGCTCTGTCTTTCTTTTTATTTACCACATCAGTTATTTTAAAACAAGACTGGTGTGTAGAAAATTAAATAATATATCAGATTTAACAGCAAGGCTGATGCATTTTTTGCTTTTTTAAAAAAAAAATTAAATGTTTATTTAATTTCGAGAGAGAGGGAGGGAGGGAGGGAGGGAAGGAGGGAGAGAGAGAGAGAGAGAGAGAGAGAGCGAGCATGAGCAGGGGAGGGGCAGAGAGAGAGGGAGACACAGAATCTGAAGCGGGCTCCAGGCTCTGAGCTGTCAGTGCAGAGCCTGAAGCAAGGCTCAAACTCACAAACTGTGAGATCATGACCTGAGTTGAAGTCAGATGCTTAACTGACTGAGCAACCCAGGCACCCCTGCATTTTTTGTTTTAAATTAGAACTCAATCCCCTTGCAAAGTAAGAAAAGATTGCCAGAAGTGGAAGAACATGAGCTATGAGAAATGCAAGATTGAATGGACAAGAACATTGGAATGTTTTGGCTAATTTGACTTTCCATTCAATGTTAGACAAAAATCGTATTTATTGTTTATTATTTTTGGAATAAATTCAACCAATGTCTATTATGCAGTATGATAGTAAAGAGGGCAGATTTTAAGGCTGAATCCTGTAGTCATTGTCTGACTTTAGGCGAATACTTTGCTTTTCCGAGCCTCTGTCCTCATCAGGCTATGGGATGATAACGGCTCTTACATGGTTGGCAGAATAAAAGGAGGCAGCCAGTATAGTATGTAACAGGGGCGTCATAGGCAACAGCTTCATTGACTGAGTGCCCTTTTTGTGCCACACAAGAATTCAAAGTATAAGAAGACATGGTTTCTGTGTGCAAAAAAATTTAAGTGAGTGGTGAGAGAGAGAGAGAGAGAGAGAGAGAGAGAGAGAGAGATTTAATTAAACAAAGTGAGGACAGTACCCAGTAGAGATGCACTTACAAAGTGTTAGGTGTATAGATAAAAGGAGAAGATTAATTCAAGCTCAAGAGGGATCGAAAAAGGCTTCAGGGAAATAGTAGTTTTTTTCAAAAAGCTAAGTTGACTCCGACAAGGAAAGTAGAGATCTTCCAACACTTTTCACCTGGGGAGAGAGCTGTTGCAAGAATTGAGTATCTATTTTCTAAATAGGACACTGAGTCCCACAGACCCTTCGATTCCTTTACATTCCTCTCATGGCTTTGCCCTTGGAGGCAGAGCCGCCACCGTGTTTTCAGCAAGCCAGAAGGCCACGTTCAGTTGGTGTGTCCCTGATCATCTCACTAGGCAGCTGTGCCTTTTCAGAGAGCCGGGCTGCGAAGATGTACAGTGTGCGTGAGTGACCAGATGGACGCCGAACAAATCAGTGCCCAGGATTGCTGAAGGATTTGATGCGAGTGCAAAAATCCATCTTTATAAGCGAACAGATGACCCATGTATCCATCGGCCTGGTACATGCCCCCGCTTCGACTTACCCCTGGCACTGGAGGATAAATTTTCAAAGAGGATGTAATCATAACTTTTATACAAATATAAATGAACACACTTCAAAGATCTTACTTAAGTCATTAATGAAGGAACTGGTAAGACATTACACACGCTTAAAAGGGAATCATGAAGGCTGAAATGAATTTACAAATGGATGCAAATTAGTAAAACTTGTTAATATCAACAGGGTTAAAATTAGTGACGTTCCACTGGGCACAATTTACATTTCTGTGGACAGGAATTATTTGCACTACTACGGTAGGCCAATTTCTAAGATACATACTTCACCTTCCCCACCCCCTCCCCTGCTCCACCAAGATTACCTTCCCCCTGGTGTACATGCCTCTATAATCATCCTCCATACCCCTTCTTGAGCAAGACCTGTGATAGGACAGTTTCTCCCTTGCTTAGGTTACATTACAAGGCAAAAGTGATGGGGTAGTGACTCCTGTGAGTGACAGCCTGGAGAGAGATCCTCCTGCTGGCTTTGAAGAAGTAATCCCACGTGTTGTGAAGGCATATGGCTAGGACCTGAGGACAGTCTGAGGGCAGCCTGTAGGAACCGAATGATCCCTGGCCAATAGCCAGCTCCCAGTCCTACAACTTCAAGGAGCTGAGATCTGCTAGCAGTATGCATGAACTTGGAGAAGAGCCCTGAGGTCCAGATGAAAACACAATCCTGGTGGCTGACACCTTGATTTTGGCCTTGTGACACCCTGAGCAGAAGATCTATGTACATCATGCCTGGACGTGAGGCATATAGAAACTGAGAGTGAATAAATGGATATTGTTTATGTCACTAAACTTGTGATAATATGTTACATAGCAATAGAAAATAAATTCAATTATCATGTTTGCTACAAATTAACTTTTACCTCTACAGAGTTGTAAAAGAGCCTAGTCATAGAAAAAGAGAAAAAACAGATGGCTGAGCTAGCAGGATTCCCACTAAATTGCAGTCTTTGACAACTGTTTCTTGCTCTGCTTTGAACCAAACTGTCCCTAAAATTTTATATTTGTGCTCATTTCACAATGTGTTGCACTTCTTTCCTCCCCCTTCCCTTCCCTTCCCTTCCCTTCCCTTCCCTTCCCCTCCCTTCGCCTCCCTTCTCCTCTCCTCTCCTTTCTTTCTTTCTTTCTTTCTTTCTTTCTTTCTTTCTTTCTTTCTTTCTTTCTTTCTTTCTTTCTCTTTCTTTCTTTCTTCTTTTTCTTTCCTGTTTTAACCTAGTTTATGGCTCCTAGTCACACACAATAGGAACAATCAAAGTTAGCTTGAGTTTGAGAATATCTCCAGGGGGATTTATCCATTCATCTTAAAAATATTTTTTTAACTTAATGTTTATTTATTTAGAGAGAGAGAGAGTGAGCAGGAGAGGGGCAGAGGGAGAGAGAGACATAGAATCTGAAGCAGGCTCCAGGCTTTGAGCTGTCAGCACAGAGCCCCACGCAGGGCTCAAACTCACGAGCTGTGAGATCATGACCTGAGCCGAAGTTGGACACTCAATGGATTCAGCCACCCAGGTGCCCCTATTCAATCATCTTAAAAGAGTAAATGCAATTTCCTTTTCAGGGTCATGTTAAACAAGACTTGTAAAGTTCTACAAATGTAGTTAGTGCTGTCCCCCTTTATCTGATTAGACTGAATTCCGATGTCATGAAGTTACTCACAGTGTCTTGCTCATTTATGCAGTGATGGAAAAGGATAGTCACTTGTCAGGGTTCAGGAGGACAGGCATATCCCAAGGAGCCTCTGAAAGTTGAAAGGTTTAGTTAGGTCAGAGAAATCCATGGTCTTACCATGGATGCTGCCTTGAATGAAACAGACTTAAGGTAGAATTTTCAAACTAAGTAGACTGTAGATGAGTCAAAGTATGAAGTGTGGGGCTAGAACAGCACAGGGGAAAGCCCATAGGCCACTGGGGAAACTGTGAGCCTGAGGCAGAGCAGATGGCTCTGAGACAAGAGGAGCAGATGGTCTAGGCACTACTGAGAGATACAAGAGGCAGAGGAGAATGAGATGGGACACATATGCAACTCTAAATGTCTAAGTTAGGCTTTTGAATATGATTTTGTGGGACACCCAGGTCCTGCAGGAACTGATAAGATGGTTATGATAGGAAAGTGGATGTGTCTGGAAGATGATCCCTATGAAAGCCTTAGACTATTATAGCTCTTATAAACTTCTGGGCTCTGTAACTCATTTTAGAGGAAAGAAAACCGAATCCCAGTCACTTAGGAAGTTAATGGCAAATCTGGAATCTGAATCCAGTTCTGTTTAGTTTTAGTCCATTGTGATCTCTGCTTATCCACACTGTTTATTTCTAAGAAGGAAACTAGGTAATTATATACATAAGTAAACAAATAAAGAAGGAAGGAAGGAATGAAGGAAGGAAAGAAAGAAGGAAGGGAAGACCAGTAAGAAAGGGAGAAGGTTACAATTGTTTGAGATTACTGGGGCATAAATGATTTCCAAATAAGGGAATATTTGAGG